GATGCTTTCAATTGCTTTTTTTCCCCTTGTTTTCTTGCTTCATATGTTTCCCCTTCAACTTCCTGGAGCCCATACACAATGACTGACCTCACCCTTTCATTCTCCCACTGCATATCCCTGTGTATCCCCTCATTTAATTTGGTTTCCTCCACTGCAGCTTTCCTTTCTTCAGTTTCACTGGCTAATGAACTTGGGCTCAGTGGCCTGTCATTTTCTCTTCTCGGCTTTCCTTGGGCTCTGTTGTTGTCTGTTAGGGCCTCCACATAAAGCTTAGCTCTTTCATTTACTACAGTCTCCTCTGATTGTGCCTCTCCATGCAGTTGTGCTCCTGCTTTCCCTACTTTCCCTTTTTTTGGCTGGGGCCTTTTTGGGTTTTACCAAAATTTCTTTGTTTTTGGTGTTTGTTTTGTTTTTTTTTTGTTTTATTTGTGTTTGTTGACCTATTTGTTTTTTTTTTTTATTTTTAATTTTCCTATTTTTTTCCTTCCTGCCCCTTTTTTTAAAGACTTCTAATTTTTTTTTCCCCCCCTGCCGGGTTTTTTTGTTGTTCCTGAAATTTTTTTTTTTTTATTGTTGTAGGGGGAAATTTTTGTTCTTTGTTATGAAAGGTTGTAGATTGGGGGGGAGGGGGGTTTTTTGGGTTTTGGGGGGGAGGAGGGGGGAGGGTGGGGAGGGGGGGTAAAGATTTTTTTGGTGGGGTTTGTTTTTTTTTTGGAAATTATGGGGGGGGTTTTTATGTACGAAGGTGTGGTTGTGCGTTTAAAATGGGAGTCAGAGGTCCTTGCTTGCCCAAACTTTTGTGTGAATTTGCCCCCCTCCTTTGGGGACTTGCCTACTGACTATATTTTTGTGTTGTTGGTTGTGGTTTGGGGTGTGTGTGTTTGTTGTGTTGTTGTGGTGTGGGTTTGTGTTGTTGTGTGTGTTTTGTGTTTGTTGAATTTTTATAGGGGTTTTCTATTTTTTCTCATTGAAAACCCACGTTTAAAGTCTTAATCATTAAGTTTTGTTGTTAAAATCTTTCTGACTGTTGCTTGTAATTTTGTGCTTGTATGGTTTGGTTTGGTATTGTATGGTATTTTATGGTATTTAATGGTATTGTAGGGAGTGGTATTGTAGGTTGTGTATTGTATGGTATTCATGTATTGTATGGTTTTGTATGGTTTTGTATGGTATGTTGTATGGTATGTATGGTATTGATGGTATTACGATGTTTGTAGTTGGTTTGGTATTGTATGGTATTGAATGTATGTTGGTTATTGCATGTATTTATTGATGGTAGGTATTGTATGCGTATGTATGAAGTATTAGATGGTATTGTCATTGGATGGTATTGGATATACTTAGTTTGTTGTATTGTTTGTATGGTATTGTATGGTATGTATGTTTAGGTATTGATGGTATGTAGTATGGTATGGTGTATGTGCATGGTATGTGTGTATTTTTGTATGGTACTGGTATTGTATGTTGTTATGGTATTGTATAGATTATGGTATGGTATTGTAATGGTTGTATTGTATGGTATCTATGGCTTTTGGTATGAATTGTGCATGGTTATGGTATTGGTATGTATTGTATGGTTCGATTGTATGGTATTGTATGGTATTGTTGTATGGTATGGTATTGTATGTATTGTATGGTATTGTCATGGTATTGTTGTATTTTATGGTTTGTATGGTATGGTTTTGTATGTTATAGGTATGTATTGTAGGTATGGTATGTGTATGTATTGTTGGTATTGTATGGTATTGTATGGTATTGCATTATGTATATGTATTGGTATGTGTATTGTATGGTATTGTATGGTATTGTATGGTATGTATGTATGTATGTATGTATGGTAATTGTATGGTATTGTATTGGTATGATTGATGGGTATTGTATGGTATTTATGGTATGTGGTATGGTATGTATGGTATTGTATGGTATGTGTATGTAGTATTGATATGGTATGGTATGGTATTGTATGGTATGAAATGTATGGTTATGGTATGGTATTTGGTATGGTATTGTATGGTATGTATGGTATTGTATGGATTGTTGTATGTATGTATTTGTGTATGGTATTGTATGGTATTGTATGGTATTTATTTTGTATTAGTATGGTATGGTATGTTTGATTAAGTATGGTATTGTATGTATGTATGTATATGTATGGTATTGTATGTATTGTATGGTATTTGTATGGTATGTATGGTATTGTATGGTATTGTATGGTATTGTATGGTATTAGTATTTATGGCTATTGTATTGTATGGTATTGTGTATGTTGTATGGTATTGTATGGTATTGATGGTATTGTATGGTATGTATGTATGGTATTGTATGGTATATGGTATGGTATTTATGGTATTGTATGGTATGTAATGGTATGTTGTATTGTATGGTATTGTATGGTATTGTATGGTATTGATGGTTTATTGATGGTATTGTATGGTATTGTATGGTATGGTATGGTATTGTATTGTATGGTATTGTATGGTATTGTATGGTATGGTATTGTATGGTATGTATGGTATTGTATGGTATTGTATGGTATGATTGTATGGTATTGTATGTGGTATGGTATGGTATTGTATGGTATTTGGTATGGTATTGATATGGTATTGTATGGTATGTATGGTATTGTATGGTATGGTATGTGTATTGTATTGTATGGTATGGTATTGGTATGGTATGGTATGGTATTGTATTGTATGTATGTTATGGTATGGTATGTATGATATGTATGTATGTATGGTATGGATTGTATGGTATTGTATGGTATTGTAATTGTATGGTATTGTATGGTATGTATGGTAAGTATGGTATTGTATGGCTGTATGGTATTGTGTATGTGTAAGTATGATGTATGGTATTGTATGGTATTGATATTGTTGGTATGGTATATTGGTATTGTAATGGTATGTATGGTTATTGTATGGTGTATGGTATGAATGTATTGTATGGTATTATGGTATTGTATGGTATGGTCTATTGTATGTATTGTATGGTATGTAAGATGGTATGGTATTGTATGGTATTGTATGGTATTGGTGATAGTTTGTATGGTTTGTAGGTATATGATTGTAATTGGTATTGTAATTGTATGTATTGTATGGTTGTATGGTATTGTATGGTATTTAATGTATTGTATGGTATTGTATTTATTGTATGGGATGTTGTATTGTATTGTATGGGTATTGTAAGGTATTGTATGTATGTATGGTATTGTATGGTATTGTATATATGGTATTGTATGGTATTGTATGGTTATGGTATGTATGTATGGTATTGCATGATGAGGTATTGTATGGTCTATGGTATTGTTGTATTGTATGGTATGGTATATTGGTATGGTATTGTATGGTAATTGTATTGTATTGGTATGGTACTGTATTGTATGATTGGTATGAGTGTATGGTATTGAGTATGTTGTATATGGTACTTGATGGGTATGGGTATTGTATTGTATGTATTGTATGGTATTGTATGGTATTGTAAGGTATGTATGGTATTGTATGGTATGGTATTGTATGGTATGGTATTAGGTATGTTGTATTTTGTATGGTATGACATGGTATGTACTGGTATTGTATGGTATTGTATTGGTATGTGGTATGGTATGGTATTTGTATGGTATTGTATGGTATGGTGTATTGTAGGGTATTGGTATGGTATTGTATGTTGTATGGTATTGTATGGTATGTATGGTATTGTATTGGTATGGTTAGGATATTGGGTATTTGTATGGTATGTTGTATGTATGGATGTTGTATTATGTATGGTATTGATATGGTATTGGTATGGTATTGTATGGTATGGGTATTGTATGGTATTGTATGTATAGTTGTATGGTATGGTATGGTATGGTATGGTATGTATGGTATTGTGTATATTGTATGTATGTATGGTATTGTATGTATGGTATTGGTATGGTTATTGTATGGTATTGTAATTGTATGGTATGTTGTATGGGTATGGTTTTATTGGTGTAATATGTATGGTATGGATTTGTATGGTATGGTATGGTATGTATGTTGTATGGTATTGTATGGTATGTATGATGGTATGGTATGGTATGGTATGGTATGGTATTGTATGGTTGATTGTTATGTATGGTATGGTATGTATTGGTATGGTATTGTATGGTATGTATGGTATTGTATGGTATGTATTGTTTGTAATGGTATTGTATGGTATTGTATGGTTTGTAGTTGATGGTATGGTATGGTATGGTTGTATTAGTATTGGTATTGTATAGGTATGGTATGGTATGGTATGGTATTGTATGGTATTGTATGGTGTATGGTATTGTGGATGGTATTGTATGGTATTATGGTATGGTATGTTTTGTATGGTATGGTATGGTATTGTATGGTATGGTAATGTATGTATTGTAGGTATGTATGGTATGTATGGTTGGTATTGTAATGGTATGTTATGTGTATTGTATGGTATTGCATGGTATTGTATGGTATGGTGTTTTATGGTATGTATGTATTGTTGGTATGGTATGGTATTGTATTGTATGGTGTATTGTATGGTATGTGTATGTATGGTTGGTATTGTATGGTATGGTATGGTATGATGATTGTATGGTATGTGTTGTATGGTATGGTATGTGTATGGTGTGTATGTTTGAGTTGGGTGTTATGTTGTATGGTATTGTATGGTATGGTATTGTATGGTATTGTATGGTATGGGCTTCCCATCTGCTGTATATTTTGAATATTTTGTATTTGTTCATGTAGTGATTTGAAATAAAGAATCTCGGTCTGAATTTCAACCATACTCTCCATGCCATCACACACTTTCATTGCACCAACCCAAGATTTCTTGCACCACTACCACCACAAATGCGTTTCTATTTCCCCTCAGTCACAATCACTCACCACTACACACATCCCCCTCTTCCACAATTACTCATACCATCCCATACCCACTTGCACCACCGCACAACCTCTTACACCCTCCCCACAGTCACTGACACCACCCCCACAGTCATTTTCACTGCTCCACAGACTACAGTGCTCCGGCAGTGATCTGGGGAGACTCAATACAGTCACAAGGAATTGGCTTCGGGGAGACTCTGTATGCTGCCGACCATGCCAACTCCAAGCTCCTGGTGAGATACTCGTGAATTATATTCTTGGGAAAGCACTAAATCAGCATGAGTCATGGGGTGCCAGGGGAGATGGGAGGCAACTTCATTTGATCTGAGGAATGGGAAGAGTAGATTCAATTCGATGGATCAAGAGCCCTTCAACAATATCTAAATAACTCATTTGAAGGATTGGTGAGAAGAGTTTTGTTTAGTCGTCAGGATGAGTGTACCCTGAGTGTACCCTGGGTGTTCCCTGGGTGTACCTTGGGTGCAACCTGGGTGTATCCTGTGTGTACCCTGGTTGTACCCTGAGTGTACCCTGGGTGTACCCTGGGTGTACCCTGGGTGTACCCTGGGTGTACCCTGGGTGTACCCTGGGTGTACCCTGGGTGTACCCTTGGTATATCCTGGGTGTACCCTGGGTGTATCCTGTGTGTACCCTGGTTGTACCCTGAGTGTACCCTGGGTGTACCCTGGGTGTACCCTGGGTGTACCCTGGGTGTACCCTGGGTGTACCCTGGGTGTACCCTGGGTGTACCCTTGGTATATCCTGGGTGTGCACCCTGTGTACCCTGTGTGTACTCTGTGTGTATCCTGAGTGTGCTTTTTGTGTACCCTTTGCATACCCAGTGTGTACCGTGGGTGCACTCTGTGTGTACCCTGGGTGTACCCTGGGTGTACCCTGGGTGTACCCTGGGTGTACTCTGGGTGTACCCTGGGCGTACCCTTGGTATACCCTGGGTGTCCACCCTGTGTGCCCTGAGTGTACTCTTTGTGTATCCTGAGTGCACTTTTTGTGTACCCTGTGCATGCCCAGTGTGTACCGTGGGTGTACTCTGTGTGTACCCTGGGTGTTCCCTGTGTTTAGCCTGTATATCCTGGTGTACCCTGGATGTGTACCCGTCATGTACCCTGGGTGTACCATGGGGCTACCCTGGGTGCTAGATGAATGGGGTCAAGGCTAGACTCTTTCTTCGCCCATCCACGCTTTTCTAGTTCAAAAAATCACTATACATTTTTCAATTTTTTTTACCTCAGGTTTCCCAGTATTTTCAATATTCATGGTCTCTATATATTTGTTATATACATTTTTATCTCTATATCTTTTTTTCCCCACATATCCCTTTGCTTTTACCCATCAAGAATCCCATTTTTTCCATCTCTCTTTGAATATAATTTTAATTTTTTTTGTTCATTGTTTATTTATTATTATTATTATTATTATATTATTATTATTATTATTATTTGTTGTTGTTGTTGTTTGTGTTGTTGTTGTTGTTTTGTTGTGTTGTTGTTGTTGTTGTTGTTGTTGTTGTTGTTGTTTTGTCGTAATTATCACTGGTCAATACTCATTTTCTGGCCAATAATATTACACTGATTTTAGGGTAAGTTTGTGATGCTGGTTCCGGTCATGTCATCAGTTTTGATTGATTGTCTTTAGTTTTTGATAAATTTTGCATTCTAATGAAAAACATAAAAGATGTGGAAAATATATTGATCAGGAGAGGCTAACTTACAAATTGCATTGAAATTACTTTTTGGATTAAGCAAATTATGTTATGAAATTAAGACACATGTGCAACATCTGGGTATCTTTATTGTAGACGTTTCGCCATCCAGTGGTTTTATCAATACAAATTCCAGGACATAACTTGAAGACAGTAGAACTATGTACAGAACATGAGGTAATTAGTCCCTCAACCTTGGAGTAGGTGCGAACAGCACCATAGTCGTGGAGATTCTGAAGCAGAAGGAAGGCGCCTGACGCTTATATACTAACGTCAGGTGGAAATGGGACGGGGAGCAGACGAGGGATGGCGAGACGTCTACAATAAAGATACCCGGATGTTGCACATGTGTCTTAATTTCATCTTGTCGGTATTGTATACCATTCTTAAACAACTTGTCAGACTCTGCAACATCATGGAATCTTGATTCTAAGGACATGTACATAACCTTCACGACTACGACAACTACTACTACAACTAACCCATCTCTTTGGGTAGGACCTACTTCCACTGGGGAATCCCGCCTACCAGTGACTATGCCCTCGTCTGCTACCCGTCTCATTTCCACCTGACGTTAATATATAAGCGTCAGGAGCCCTGCAACCTCTGCCTCCTCCCTCTCTCCCACCCCCCACCCCACTTCCTACACCCACCAGCTCTCCTCCTCCTCTACCCCTCTTCACTACTTCTACCCCTCCCACCAACACTCCTACAACTGCTGCTACGACCACCTCTCCCCCACCTCCTTACCCACTTCCTTATCCCCAACCAAAGCTTCCACTTCCTCATCCCTTACCATAGCTTCCACTTCCTCATCCCCTACCAAAGCTTCCACTTCCTCTGCACCCACCTTCGCCCACTCCTCCACCACAACCAAAACTTCATCCAGGTCCAACTCCACCTCCTCCAGACAAAATCCACTCAAACCTAAACCTGCCCCAACTTCTGACAGACAGACCAAAGAACATAAAAACAGATCCATCTCTTCCTCCCCCTCCAGGAAACGGGTCCGTAGCACCTACAAACACACATCCACTGATGGCACCACTATCACGGGCTTTAATCAAAACTCCTCCCCCAACATTAACTTTGCTATGACAAAACTATTAAATCATGTTTAAAGTGATTCAGTTCAACGTACGTTCTTACTTTACAATTAGACACCTACTGGCCGAGCTCCTTGAAGCAGAGAGGCCAGATATTGTTTTGCTAAACAGTACCTGCCTTAAAGCCCATCAACGTATCCGCCATTATGGTTATACTGCACTACAGTCCCCCTATGATCCCCACGATGGGGTTGCCATCCTTGTCAAATCCAACATAAAACACGAATTTCTCCCAATCCCTTTTATTCACCAACACTGTCTTGCAGTCAGAATACACACCCACCTTGGTCCCTTTATCTTTTTCACCACCTATGCTCGCCCAAACACTATTCTCAACATACACGACCTCTCCTTAGTCTTCAACTACACCAACACACCAACATACCTACTAGCTGACATGAATGCCGAACACACCGCCTTTCATCACACCAGTAACAACCAACTTGGTCACCAATTACTCAACTTCACAAACCATAAACACCTAATTCATCTCGGCCCAGATTTCAACACCTTCTACAACCACACGGGCCAAGGCAAACCAGACATCTTTCTGGCAAACCGAGCCAGCTCTCTATTTCAACACTACATCTCACCTGGCCCTATTACAGGCTCTGATCACATCCCAGTCATCTTACACATCTCCAACCCTATCCTCATTCCAACCACACCTTCCTTCTCCTACAAGAACGCTGACTGGGATGCTTTCAAACAACACATAGACAATATTAACCTCACCTATGACTACAACAACAAGCCTATCTCTGACATCGATACTCAACTTGATCTCATCCAGGACACCATTACACAAGCAGCCAACACCGCAGTACCAAAGAAAACTCACACCCACTCGTTATTCCTTCAAACCGTCACTCAGAACAAGAAGACTAATTATCTGCTACCACAACCGCTTCCTCTACAACACACATAGATTTAATCAAGTCCGATTAGATCTCACTTACCTTAGAAACAACATTTTACACAGCCTAGACCAAGACCACAACAATCACTGGTCACAACTCATACAACAAGCAGAAAAACAGCGTATTAAGAACACTAAAGCCTTCTGGAACTTTTTAAAAAAAATCCGAGGCACAACTCCCACCAACAAATTCAAACACATCACCCACGACGACACACACATCTCAGACCCGCAGGCTGCTACCAACATCTTCAAACACATCTGGGAGAACATCTTCCACCCTCACCCACCTCACCCTAACGTTATTCAACACATTCAGAACATAGAACACTGGAACACACACACAAGAAACAACACCAGATAGCCACATACATCTAGACTCTCTTACCTCCTCCCAAGAACTCGACACTCCTTTCACCAACACAGACATTAAAACTCTCCTCAGACACCTTCCTCCCAAGGCTCCTGGTGCCTCTGGCCTAAACCATATTATCTTAAAACACCTTCCTGACTCTATCATTACTGCCTACACAAACCTCCTCAATGCCTCCCTTGCATCTGGATACTTCCCTTCCCTCTTCAAAGCTGCTACTGCTATCCTCCTTCCTAAACCCAAAAAAGACCACTTTGATCCTAGAAACTATCGCCCTATCAGCCTCCTCGAAACTTAAGGAAAACTCTTTGAAAAACTCATCAACCATCGCCTTCGCAGATACCTGGAACACAACTCTCTACTTTCTGAAGGCCAGTTTGACTTCAGAACACAGATCCACACAGGATGCCATTAACATCATTCTCAACTACATCCACATAAACACAAAACAAAGAAACAGGACAGCCCTGGTTGCAAAAGACGTTGAAAAAGCTTTTGACACTGTCTGGCACGAAGGGCTCAAGTACAAACTCTGCTCTAACTTTAACCTGCCTCTCACTACTCGTAAACTCCTCTGCAACTTCCTAGACGGCCGTACCATGAGAATCAAATTCCAAGGCTGTTACTCTGACTACTTCACACTAAATGCTGGAGTACCCCAGGGATCTGTCCTCTCCCCTACCCTCTACATTTTATACACTAACGACATTCCAACACCTGTATACCAAAACTCCATCACACTAGCCAATGCAGACGACATTACACAACTTATCACTCATGCCAATATAGATACACTCACACACAAAACAAAATGAGGCCGACAGGATAGCCATCTGGGAACAAAAATGAAGGATCAAAACCAATGTGTCCATGATGGTTCTACCTCACACTTTGTGTCCTTGAAAGATGATACCGGTCACTTTGTGTCCCAGGATGGTTGTATCGGTCGCTTTATGTCCCTTAATGGTTGTATCGGTCACTTTGTGTCTCTAAATGGTTGTGTCTCACACTTTGTGTCCCAGGATGGTAGTGCCGGTCACTTTGTGTCCCAGGATGGTTGTACCGGACACTTTGTGTCCCAGGATGGTTGTACAGGTCACTTTGTGTCCCAGGAT